CCCCAAAACCCCAAAACCCCAAAACCCCAAAACCCCAAAACCCCAAAACCCCAAAACCCCAAAACCCCTTAAATTTTATTTCTTATTGAATAACATCTTTGCTTAGAAGGAAGCAATGTTATATTTATCAGGATCAACTATTCTGACATTGCATCCTTCTGAGTCTTTGTCATAATTCATTCAGCACGACCAAGCTTCTCAGTCCTCAAATTTGGACTTTTCCCACTTGCCTGTGTGATGATAAACTCTCTTCCTTCTTGAGATAAGGGTTTTGGCTAAATCTGGTTTAAAGGTAAGTTCATGTTGATCTTCATGTTCTTGGTGTTTGTATCTCTCTTCATACATAGTCTTCATAACAATAGCTTGTTTCTTTTCTTCACTAGCTTTAGGCATTTGACTGTCAACTTCAGACTTGATGCTACTCTTCCAATCTTGCTCCATTGTTCTAGTGAGTTTTAAGTTTTCAGAATGATCCTTAGCTCTTTCAAATGGAGTTTTATAGTTTGCTAACACTTTTTCGTTAAATTCTTTGGTCTTAGACATCCTCATTGCAGTCCTAAAGTATGAAAGAGGCTATCTTACTCCTCAGCAATTCTCTTCTGGTCATGGAGAGGAATTGGCACTTGGTTTGAAACATTCCATCCTCTAGTATCATGGTCATTCCTTGTGTCTGTTCCATCATAAACTTTATTGTTCTTTGTACTAATGGGATGAAAGTCATTAAAGCCTTTCTTAATTGAAAATAGCTTTGCATCGTCGTTATCAGGCACAGGAAGACCACTTTTCAATACACTAGAGTTCCAATTTGGTCTATCATGATGGGCGAATGCATCTTTTACCTTAGCAACGGCCTCTTTCGCTTTTTCTGGGATATCATTATTATGAAAGAACTTTTGATCCTTAGGATAATTAAGGTTACTGCTATATGCACTTCCAATCACATTTTTCTTCCTTTTCATTGTAGCATTGGTGAGCCCTGCTGCAGGATTGACACTCATCGAGTCTGACATTTCGAGGTCCTATAATATTAGCCATATATTTCCTACTTCAGGCTCATTCATTTTCTTGTTAATGATTTCTTGAAGGAACATTTTGAAAATTAATAAAAATTAATCAATTTATTTTATGAAATTAGGGGTTTTGGGGTTTTGGGGTTTTGGGGTTTTGGGG